ATTCGAAATGAGAATGATCTTCGAAAGGATCGTCTTTGTTTCATTTCATTTATTTATTAATGCTCTATGGTATTGAAAAAAGAAAAAAAATCAGTATTAAGAGATCTTCAATATTTTCATTTTGAATGATTCTTCATGTACGACGTAATAACTGATAATGAATTTGTTTATTTGCGACGAGCTTCTAACATTGGATCATTAATATTAGAACTACCAAAATGGTGAAAATGGCCATTTGGATATTTTTGTTAAATATTTTATAGATATAAAACAGTGTATTTTTTGAGGCTTGAATAATCCTTCGCAAATACAAGCTTGTTTATCCTGTTGTACTATAAAGATTTTCTGTTTCTTTTATTTTAACGTCTCCGATGGAAATTTTATGTCGTCGGTAATTCTAGTGTTAACACATCTTTCTTAGATTATTAGCGATTCGTAAATTCTTCGGAAGAAGCGTCGAGATATTTTTTCTCATCACAGAGACGTCGGTGAAACGCAGGAAGGGCGTCGATCGATGCGATTCACGGCGGGAGATCCTGCACCCTAAGCGGATCGCAAAGAGGCGGGACGATTTCAATGTAACGCAACCACTAGGTTGGAAATCGTTGGGAATCGCCCTCATGTAAATATACATCGGCATTCGTAGGTGTTTGGTGTGTTTAACCGGTGTGTTTCTCGATGCTCCCGTGCGTTCAGCCTGGTTTAAATTTCTCGACGGGGAATGGAAAGTGTGAGAGTTGTCTCGTGGCGCGGGTGCAGCAGGCCGAAGGTCGTTATAAGCACGACGATGCGGGTAGCAAAGCGAGACACGTGCTTCAAAGATGTTGTACGTTTTTTGACGCAGGGTTGAAATGCACTTGTACGGTAACGGTTGAAACGGGCGCACAGCCTCGGTCGCGCGTACAGCTGAGAAAATTGCGCGGTTCCAAAGACGATACGTAAAATGAAACTTCAACGGGGGGGGTGGGTTGATTCAGAGGTGGGCGCGCGTTCATTTCCTTTTTTCAAGAGCGAAGCTCCGTCAGACACGTAAATCCACAAGGAGAAGCGAGCGGTAGCAAAGATTTCCCCATTTTTTTTTCTTCTTCCTTTTATCTTCCCTTTTTTTCCCCCACTGTGCTTCTTTGCGAGCCGCTTCATCCGATTGTGCGAATTATTCCTTCGTAAACGGTGAAAAAGAAAGCTGAAAGCGAGCGGGTTTTCTCTTCGTTGCTCTTCCCCGCTATATACAGTCGGTGCTTTGTTGCCTCGCAGTTACATCGCAGTTACAATTATGATCTTCTGCGCGATGAAATCGCCTCTGTTATCTCGAAAGTGACTCCAGGGGTTAGCGCAGCAAGTGGAAGGCCCGTGATCCAACCGGTGTAATTCAGCTGTTATCTGATTACAATTACGTTTCGTTTCGCTGGTCGCGCGGCAAAACGAACCGCTCGTGGACAAAATCGCGGCTCAAACGACCGGAAACTCAAAAAGCGATCGATATTTCGACGAGGCCAATGGTAATTTAATCGGAAGCCCGTAATCCGGGAATCGTAGCTTTTCAAAGGCTTGCCCTCCCTCTCGTTCATTCGATCCGAAACTGAAGAAGAAGGTCCTCGTCAGACCTAAAGCAATCTGCATGTTTGCTCGACTAGACTTCCCAGTTTGAACAACCTTCTTCCTACGATATTTTCAGTATACTTCCAGAACGATCGATGTTACGATTCCAATACATGAATCTTGCCAAGAATAACGTCTTGTTTTCTCTACGATCGTAACCTTTGCATTTGCACATCAACGTTTTATTGTCCTAACCTAACTGAAACCGTTCATCCTTTGATTGACGTTAGAAGAAACTTCGAATCAATGGATACAACTTTGAACTCCAAATCAATCCTCTTGCAGATTGTATTCGCCTTTCTGCAAATCAGATTTCACCTTGTGTGTAACGCAATAGAAAAGTGAAGCAATAAAATGTTATTTTATCGTTTCCTGTGATTTTATTGGTAATTAGTTTGACTCGGACAAACCATGAACATTCTGCTGCAACTATCACTCTTACAGATTGTTGTAATTATTACAAGAATAAAACTATCCAGCGAACTGTTATTGTTGAATCTATAATATGTGTATATGTAATACTTTTAGTGTTAAATTAGCATTTTATGTTGATTTTATGTCATTTCATGTTGTCTTTCGTTTAAGTACTATTACACGCATGCAATAAAATTTTTATTCCGGGATAATAACCTTATCAATCGGATTTTATTTTTCATTGCAATAGCTTAAGAAAACAAATTTGTAAAAAAATGTTTGATTTGATTTGCAAAAAGGTGAATATGCTCTGCAGGAGAGATGTAAATAAATCTATGTACGGACGAATATATCGAGCGATACGGGGTGAAGTTGCTTCGAAAAGAGACATTTTTTTTCCCCCAAGGAGATACAGAAAATCTCGACGGATAGCGGTGCAGGTGCGGCTGAGAGGTCGTCGGTCTTGCGTTTGGCGCGTCGCTTCGGCCAACCGGTTGCACGAGACACATAGACCAAGCGGAAGCGGCAAACCACCGAGTAGTTTGCGGAGATCGAGAGTAGGCAAGGTGTACGTGCATCGGCAAAGTGTATACCACTCATTAGCAAGTGTCTGAACTTTTGTCAAGTTCCGACTGGCAGGTTTGCGCTCCATCCGTTCTCCTTCTGCGTTCCCTCTTCCTGCACGTGACGTCGACACATTGTTGTAACGTTGCTCGCGAGCTGGCGCGATCTGCTTATCGTTCCGGGGGATTGACAACTGTGTATGCCAACGTTAAACGCGTTAGGATGCAGGGTAAACGTTCGTACGACAGTGTTCCCTTGCTTCTCGAACGGGCCTGCTCCGCGACAGCTATTGTGCCGCGTTCCATCCTTTTCCCGAAATGCCATCCGCCGACGAGAATTCCGTCGCTGAGCGAGGAAAAATAGCTGGTTCCATTCATGCGGCCCGACGTTACGCGGTTTCTCGCTTTCTACGTGACGCGGCTGCGAGATGATTTCTCGCGAGTAACCCGCGACACGCGGCCTCCCCGCTTTCTGTACATCTCCTCGAGCGTGCAATCCCGGAGTATCATTATCGGTCGCGCAAGCGTTTCTCTGAAAAGAAACATCTCGCGTTCGATTTAATCGCCGCGGAGAGTGCACAACTTCGCGTCGTGCCAGGGCAAAGAAGGGAGCAAGCCAGAGAATAGAGAATAGAAACTTCTTTCGTATTCACGCATAGGATCGCACTCTTTTACCCCGTTGCTCTGCGCGCACCGCTGTGAAAACAAAAGCGCGCCACAGAGAGAAAACAGTGGGAAGAATACGCATCGAACGGGAAACATGTACAGAGCTCTCCTATGTACTTATGTATGTATATACACGGTGTCCCGTTGTCCACCGATTTTACGTGTAAAAAATGTGCCGACAAGAGGAAGAACAAAATTTTCTTCATTAAAGCCTCGAGGGAATCGAGTATGCAGCGGAAATTTCGTATAACGCGCCAAAGATGCGACTACTGTTTTCATATAACGCGATTCCTCGTACAACGCCAGATAATAAACTACGGGAATTCCCCGCATTTAAAAATTAAATCTGCTTTAATTGAGCATTATATTGTTTCTCTCATCGTTACCGACTTCTTCTGTTTCGTCGTTGTTTTGTTTTTTTAACGCGGCCATTGTTAACGTAACGATACGAGTTTCTATGAAATGAAAAAAAATTTTATCACATACGTTAATAATCTGATCGTAGAAAACATCAGAAAATAAAAGTTGGCATTGCAATAATCATTCCAAGCATGTTACTTTAGATTATTGTGCGTTGCACGAGAAAACTCTTCGTACAGTATGAGTTATAGTTTCCTGCAACGCGAATTCATTAACATATTAATCGCGCTATACGGAAGTCTACTGTACTTGAATTTGGCTAATTCTAAACGCGACAGAATGAAAGAATGACTGACGGGAGGTTCTTCCACGCGCGAAAACCAGTAAGAAACATAGGATGAAATTTCTCTGTAAGAGACGTTTCGTTTTCGACAAAGTTGAGTTTGAAAATTTATCAAGGCGACATTTAACGAGAGACGTTAATTCATAGTTTACTTAGTTACTTTCTTGAAAATGACGCGTTGAACGAAAAAATTTTATCTTACGCTTTTCGCTTGTTCCTGCACGTAGAATATCGCATCCAGTATGGAATTAGCCAAATTCAAGAACAGTCGACGAATCTTCAAGCTCGATTTTCTCGGGAACGAAGGCTTCAACGAACAAATTTTAGACACATTTTCTCTTTTTTTCGACACATTTTCACACGTAGAATCACCTCACCTGGTTGGTTGACGTCGCGGGACACCCTGTAGGTTGAAAAATTTTCTACACGAATGTCCGAGCAAAATCGCGGGCATTTTTCTTTCGCTCGCTGATTCCGCGACGGGGTAGTGTGTGCTCGTGTGTCAGTGCGTATGCGTGCGTGCCGGTAACGCGGGCGCGGTCGCTCGTTTGCCTCTATTTATGTCGCCTGGTCGACACTGTGTTATCACGGGGCCGCGTACGTGTGGAACGAGGAGCACTGGTTCGCGTCCACGTGAAAGTGGATGTGCGTACACGGGAGGAACCACACGGTGTTTGCACAGTCGCCGGCAAACATTGTAATCCGGTAACACTCCGGCTGCGAGGATTGGTTGCGGCTCTCGGAGGCGGGGGTGGGAGCAGGCAGGGGGTTGAAAGAGGACCGAGTGGTAGCTGCCTAGGGAGGAAAGCGGACGCACGAGTATGCAAGCCGTTGTCCGTACTCCTCGCTCTAGCGAGGACGCGCTCCAGCCATCGTGGGGGTGAGTTTGCATCGGTGTGCGAAGGGACACCGAGCGCTGTTGGAGGGACGGATCACGTGGTACTTTGTGCACCGAGTGCCAGTCAGTCTGCGAATAAACGGACGAGTGAGCACATCCGGCTAAATCCGCTTCGAATTACGCGTTCAACATTAAAACGAATGCGACCTTGTTCATAATGGAATTATACGGAACAGGGGGCGAAATTTTACCGCTTGCCGGCTTCTTCCTCCTCCTTTTTTCACCCACTCCCTCCTCTGTGTCTCCTATTGTCCCGACATGCGGACCACGTTATTCCCCTCCTCGTCTCGCTCGACCATCATCGTGAACATTCACGCGTGACCTAGGATACAGTCGCGAATCGCTGCCGTCCTTTTTTTTTTTACGTTAAATACTTTGGCAGTTGCAATTTCGAGGAATTATCGCGGGCCAGGTAAGAGGGCAGTTATATTAAAAGCATCGTGTTCTCCTTCTTTCTCTCTTTCTCTCTTTCTTTTTTGTTTTTTCTTTTTTTTCCGTTGAAACATAAAATTAGTTTGCCGTCGTTTAATTAGACATTTATAATCCGTCGGAGGATCGGATACTGCTCGGATCGTTGGAAACAATGGCCTCTCGTATCACGGACGTTGAGAAGAGACTCGGCCTGGATGAGGCCGGTATAACAGTTGGCATTTCGTATTCATTGACTGAAGGATGGAGCAGCGGAATGGAGCCGAAGTCCGTGACAGCGTGAAGGAGGAAGATTACAAGCGGGTTAATCCGTCGGCGAAGGCTCGAACGTAACGGCTCTTCCACAGAGATGTTTCCCTCTCGGTCTCTCGTCCGAGCGTTAAGCTCGAAATTGCTCGATTTACCGCGAGGCCGCCCTGTTCACCTCGGCCATAGATACCGAGTGTGAACTTGACTGCGACTGTAACTCCGCGAGCAGTTACTCGTGAAACTCCGTCCAAGGAGTCTTGGCGCGAACGCGCGACCTCGGACTTTGCCTAATACCACTTACCGGTGCATCCGGCTAATCATCGGCCGTCGTTTTCGCGCACGCTTTCACGACGTCGTACGTACAACGTGAGGATCTTGGACGTGGAATCGGAAATTTGGGAGCAGACGCGAAGATAAGTTGGTCGCCTCGATGTCGTTCAACGAGGAACAATGGTTCGGCGACACGTTGACGTAACGACGTAATTAACGAGATCCGGACGAGGGAGGACGAGGGATGAAACGGCCAATAGGTTTTAGAGAGAGAGGGAGGAGAACCGCGATCCCGAGTTTCCTCGAACTGGCTGACGCACGAAACGAATGACCCGTCGTAATCGCGGCCCCTAAACGTCCAACATTTGTTATCTTTAAAGCGACTCGGGTGGTAGGGATTGTGGAGCGGCTCGGATGGGCCGGAATAGGGTGGACGTTGGCTGGGACAGGGTTGAGAGATGGATTAGCGGAATGATTAGCGCGACACCTAATGGGAGTTGGTGCTACGCCGACTGTTGGGTCGACTGTTACCACCCTTCGCATTATCGTTGGTCGGATGCACGATGATCGCTCGTATCGTCAAGCGCCTTGCCCTTGTTTGTTCGCGTTCGAATCTATTGCTGAAACGATTTAACGAGACCCGAGAGTCGAAAGTTGTAATTGCAAATTGATTATCGGTCGCCGTGTACAATTGGAAAATAGCGAGAGGTGCATTGTCGAGGATTGGGTTCGAGGTATTGGATTCGATCGATGGATGGATTTCGATTAACCGAGTTTGGAAATTATAAAAGTTGATCGGTGACGGGGCGTGTAAGTTCGACGTTCGTTGCATCGTCGTTGAATCTAAGAGGGCGGAACTTTCAAATTGCATGCACCCCGATCGACTTTTATTTTCAGCTACATAGGTGAAAGGGGCGGAGTGATTATTATCCGCAGATATTTGCGCGATGAATGAGGTGGTAGGAATAATCGCCGTACCGGAGGCGACTAAGGAGGGATGATATCGATAGATAATAACCAGGATGAGATCCCAGGAACGAGGGGAAGCTCTTTCGTCGTGCCTTAGCTATATGGTACTTCGATCATT